AGCACCCAAGATAGAAGAACTCGTGTAGAAGATGCTCTAGATGATGAAGATGATTTAGAAGTATTGCTTGAACAAGAACTAGATCAAGAAAAAGAACAAGAAAAAAAAAAAAAAGGAAATAAGAGCACTTCAAATAGAAGATCTTCAAAAAAGAAAAATTAATTGCTTCTTTAATAACTTTGCGATTATTATGGATAATGCGGAAAGATATATATTAACTGCTTAATTTAATTCGACTGTTATTTTGAAGTTTATTTCTTAGAGAAAATAGAACATCCATCTTTGAATATTAATAATGTATTTTTAAAAAAAAAATTTATTTTCGAAATTGTTATCGCTTGATTTTCTTCTTAACCAATATATTTTAAACAATCTATGGCACCTCACATTTAACTGATTTGGTTAATAAACAATCAGTCTCTTATTCAAATCGATTTATCCAATAAGTGTAACATTTATTTATTAATTGAAATATTTGAAGCAAAATTAATTGGTTCTTAACGTCTGTTAAAATTGATTTAACTGATAAATATAACGATCTGATTCTTATGATGATTTTCTAAATTTACCATTATGTACAAGCTGTTGATATTAAATTTTAGCCTTATCTGAAAGTTGTAGGGTGCCAGCAGCGCTCTACTTACGTTTATACTTCGAAAGTGTATAGAAATAATAGTTAATACTTTGAATTTTGATGCATTATCGTGCTTTTCAAATTATTGTGATCCGCAAATTTCATGCATTACACATCGCTGGAAATTTGGGAATCGGAAATCTATTAAATGCAAGCCTGTGATTTGCTAAAATTATACTACGTAATTGTACTGTGTATATAATAGTATTGAATGTTTTTTACAAAATTTGATTGAAGATTCCCAATAACGGCCCGGTCGATTTCAATACTTAAGACCATTTTTAAATTCTACTAGCCAGTAGAATTTGAAAATAGCTTCGAATTCCGATGATACTGTTGATGGCAACGGCTAGAGGATGTACGGGTCTAGACAGTCACCACTGAGATACAGTGCAAAGAAAAACTAACAAAACAAACCACACAACAAAACCCGTGAAGGCAGAGGCGGTTAAGATTTGACAGAGTACGGTTGTGGGTTGGCTAGTTGGGGTTTCGAATGTCAAAAGGAAAGGCTTTTGGATCAAAGGATTTTTATTTGATCAAATTCAATTTTTATTGGTTTTTATTCGAACTGTTCTGCTCTTCTAATGGAGCAAACTACTACTCTATTTATACAAAAATTCAGTACTAGAGAAAAAAAAGAAAGAAGAAAAGAACTATAGATCTCGCCCCTTGTCTCAGCGTGTTATCACCACTGATCTTGACGTGATTTTGATTATACACTATTTCTTCTATATGAATGTAAACATCTGACTTACATGGCCACACAATTTACCCAATTTGTTATCTTTTTTGTTTATTTATACCTGACAGAGCCACCGCCTCACTTAACCAATTTGGGCAATGCTTGGTCATTGTTTTGCACTAGGTGGTCATACTATGGTTCTTCCTGTGCGCCACACTGAGAAGTTCAATACACCATAGACTTGGGTCCATCTTGAGAACAATCTTATCACGATGTGGCCACAATTTCTTGACGATTTGTTTGCGATTTCCTTCGAATTCTTCATCTTGTAGCTGTTCCAGGCTTATTTTTGGTTGGGGGCTTTTGGGGCAAAACTGATTCTTCATGATTTCTTTAACGATCTCATGGGCTCTGATTCAGGGTTTTTGTTACGTTTTCAGGTCCCGTGACATCAAATTTGGCACCACAGATTTCGTCGATTTTGCCACCAACAATTTTCTCTTCTTATTTATTCACGTCCTGAGAAAAATTCACATCCAATCAACACAACAGGTCTTGTCTCATTTAAACCAGAAAAAAAAAGGACAACACACAACAAAAAAAAACAATTTATTTTAAAACGCGTTCATGTTATACACGAAGGTTTCTCTTGTCATACGCTCCTTAACCCCACGTACAACTGTCGCATTTTACCTTGCATACTAGATGTCCATTTTTTTTATTTTTTATTATTATTTTTTTTTTATTCTAACGATTGTATCAGCTCGCTTTCAATTCCTGTTTCTTCATGTTCATAGTACCATTTTAGCAAACTTAGGTTGAAAGGGGCTGAAATCACCTTTCCATTGAGTGTCCTCAACTTGTATGCATCATTCGGGAGCTTATCATGGATGTAATACAGGCCAAGGCACTTAGGATCGAACTTATTACTCTTAGAGTATCACTTTTTTGTATCCTCGAGAAGAACCTTCTCACCTATGTCAAATTCAAAACTGACACAATACTTTTGATCATAGTAGGTCTTCACTTCCTTTTGCTTTTGGTGCACATTTTCTACGGCTTGATTCTGAATGACTAGTACTTTGTTTATTAACTTGAAAGTTCTTTGCAGTATAGTTCCTTCCAATAATTCCTCGAAATAGCTTGGGTGTATCAGTTGTCTTGCTTCACGACCATACACAAGGAAAAACAGAGACATTTGAGTAGTAAAATTCTGGGTGGTCTAATAGGCAAAGAGTATCAAGGGAATCAACAAATCCCAGTCAACGACGTTTTCCACTAACTTCCCTAGGGCCATACACAATGTTTGGTTAAAATATTCAACAAGGCCATTCGTTCAGGGGTGGTATGGAGTTGAGAAGTGGTGCTTTACTTTTAGCTTTTCTAAGAGCAGCCTAATTACATTATTACGGAAATGGGTGCTACGATCAGACTGAATTCGGTCGGGGCATCCATGTTGACATATTATGTCATTATACAAGAACTCAGCAACAGTTTGAGCATTCGCCTTTTCTACGGTACGTGCTTCAGGCCAACAGGTCATGAAGTCCGTTGCTACTATTATGTAGCAGTTCATTCGGGGTGTTCGGGGGAGAGGGCCAACAAAATCTAACCCAATTTTATAAAAAGGGGCTGATATGGGTATCAGGTGCAAGGAACCTTGTGTATGGGGTCAGGTTCTCTTTTGACATTCGTCACATGTTTGGGCATACGTTCGTATGTCCTGGTACATTTGAGGCCAAAAGTAGGTGTCGTGGACATTCTCGAACATTATATTCTGATTGAAGTGTCCACCAAGCAGATGTGTGTGGACTAAAAACAAAATCGGGTCTACTTCGTGTTTTTATAGCACACAGAGCAAGTTTTCCTTATTTCATCGATCTTTCTTATACAAGAGGCCTTCTCTTACTTCATAGAATTCGGACTTCTTCTTTAGCTTTTGCTTTTGTCTTTTATCAAAAGTGGGCGGCAGGTACTTCATATCGAGATATTGCACCAAATGTCGATAGTGGTCAGGCTCCATTTCAGATCCTCTAAAAAATTATATATGTTTTCTCTCTTTTTTTTTTTTTTTTTTGATTTGCCAGGACACCGATAACCTGGTCTAGATTTTAATTTAACCGGATTTTTATTTATTTATTTATTTATTTAATTTTTTTTTTTTTTTTTTCTTCTCTTTTTTTCATGTATTTCCAACTTAGTCAATTACCATCGAGTGCGGCTCGGGATCCTTTTCAAGCATCTCTGCAGTAACGGGTTCTACAGAGGACTCGGGAATTCTCAATAACACATCAGCGTTGCTATGTTTTTGACCATGACGATGTACAATTTTAAAATTGTACGGTTGCAAACGAAGCACCCAACGGGTCTGACAACCAGTCAACGCTGAAGTTTGCAGCACTTTAGCGCTACATGATCAGTGACAACAACGAAGGGGTCCAGGCCAAAATAATGACGAAAATATTCAATCGCCCACAAGACAGCAAGGTTCTCAAGTTCTGTGGTGCTATAGTTTTTTTCAGCATTCGATAGAGCATGGCTCGTATACGCCACAATGTATTCTTTCCCAAGATCATTCTTCTGGGCCAGCATGGTATCTAGCCCAATCCCGGAGGTGTCAACATGCACTATAAACGTTTTGTCGAAATCAGAGTAGCGTAACATGGGCGCATTCGTGAGATACTGCTTCAATTTTTTAAAGGCTTCCTCTTGTTCTTCTTTCCATTCATATTTCACATCCTTCTTTAATAGGTGGTGTAAGAGGTGGGTGATCGCGGTGAAGTTTGGGATGAACTTCCAGTAATAGGAAGCCAATCCTATAAACCCATGGAGTTGCCCAAGTTCATGGAACGGGAAACTTCTGAACCTTTTCTACCTTACCGTTGTCCGGACGAACCCAATCACGGCTGACGACATGACCAAGGAACTGTAGGCATGGCTTAAAGAAAGAACACTTATCTATATTCAATTTCAAATTCACAGCCCTTAATTTCTTGAAGACGGTGGCAAGGTGGTCCAAGTGTTCTTCGAGGGATGCGGAGTAAACAATAATATCGTCGAGGTAGACCACGACGAATCACTTGATGAACTCGGCAAGCATGTAGTTCATCAAATGTTAGAAGGTGGTGGGAGCATTACATAAGCCAAACGGCATGACCACGAATTCGTAAGTGCTGAACAGAACTGTGAAAGCAGTCTTTTCTCAATCCTTTTCGCTTATTTTCACCTGCCAATATCCTGACATTAGATCCAGGGAGGAGAACCATACAGCTTGTCCGAATACTTCCAGCAGGTCGTTGATGCAGGGGAGGGAGAACGCATCTTTTTTGGTTATTGCGTTCACCTGGTGGTTGTCGACACACATTCACAATTTTCTGCCCTTTTTTGGGACAACCACGACGGGGATGCCCAGGGACTTTTCGATTCTGTCACTAGCTCTTTTTCTTTTAACTAGGCTACTTCCTTCTTAATAAAGGCATGAATACTCAGGGCGGCACGGTACGGCGCTTGTTTAATAGAGGGAGCGGTTCCAGTATCGATGTCGTGGGTCATTACGTCCGTTTGTCCAAGGTCATTCGTACTATGGGCAAAAATGTCTTGCTCGATGAACAACCTTTCATGGGCATTTTTTTTTCCTCCTGATTCAGGGGGTATCACCAAGGCTTCATTCCAGTTTTTTTTCCAGGAGCTCTTTTTCGGGATCCAGTTCGTGGGTCGGGAGTTCTTCGATATTGTCAAGACACGCAGCGAGGCTTTGGTAGTCTTCCCACAAATTTTCGTAAAGTTCATCTTCGGGAGCTTCTTTTGTATAATAACCTTCAGCATTGTCCAAGGCTTCGTCTTCATATTCGAATTTATCGAACATGTCCTTACTTTCTGGGGAGGGGACTATGGGCTCAACCAGGGGACCTCTATTGGTTGAAATCAGTACTTCACTGGTCTTTTCACCATATGTAAGGTACAGCCTTTTCTCCGCAAAATGCAACCAGGCTCGCACTTTTATGAACCAATCTATTCCCAACAATAGCAAGTCATCGGTGGATTCAATTACTTGAAATGTGGTAGGAATCAGCATTTCACGGATCACTACCTTAAGGTTATTAATTTTCTCAAGGGCTCGTTTCCTCATACCATTCGCAGTTACAATAACGGTGATAGATGGCTCATCGATTTTTAAGCCTAATTTCTCCATCATTCATTTTGATATCAAACTCATAGTGGTACCAGAATCCAACATAGCAACAACAGGGTTGTTTCTTATTCGTATATAACACTAGGCAGCAGTGGTGTGTCCATTACTCGGGGGCTGCACTATATTTATTTCCATACCTAAGGGTTGGACAGGTTCAACTATGGGAGGTCTTTTTAATACCTCGGCTAAGTTACGGCGCTGGTTCGAGTATTGCAACAGTTGTCTGATAGTAGCATTGGCTTTTATCGATAAAATGTCCTACACCATGTTATACGGTTCTAACTGTTCAACAATCAAAGGGCCTCTCCTTCGTCGGGTTGTGGTGGGGGAACTTCGAAGGCTTGTAAGGGGATCAGTGGTGGTGTCACGTTCATCGGGGGCACTACAGAGGCGGTAGCTACAGGTGGGTTGGTTCTCAACCTTTCTTCTGCTCAACTTTCTGATTTTTTTAGGTTCTGGCAGGTTGGTGACGGGAAAGAGAAACAAATGCATCTTCTTCCTTTGTCTGATATCTGGAATCGTCGAGATCACACAGATTCACATTCCGGGATTGCGGCACAGACAGGTTGTTTGGGTTAGTTCTCTGGTTCTGGGTTGGTACAGGTGGTAGATTCGGAGGTGAGTTCCTTGGCGGTATTGGTCACATGGAAGTTCTCTCGAATATACACTTCCGAAAAATGTGACCAGGTTCACCACAGTTATAGCAAATTATACGCAGGGTATTATTTTGCCCTCCATGATTATTATTGTAGTGGGGCCTTGCCTCATTTGCTTCTATCCTTGCTGCCAAGATAGAAATGAGTTTTTCATAGTTCTTCGACATGGCTTGCATCTGCTGGGTCAGGTGGTTCAAATCGTCATCATAGCAAGCATTTCAGTTTCGGGCTACGTTTCTTTCACTATAATATCCTCCGGCTTCAATTTTACGAGCACTGATTATTGCTTCATTGAGATTTTAGAAGTCAGCTACACTTAACTATAATGCGATCTTTGGCTTCAGACCACCCAAAAACATACACACAACATACGGTTGAGAAGGCAGTTTTCAGGGTCTACCCGATGCAACAGCCTCTTAAAATTATAGGCATAGGCATTGACTCGTTCAACGTCTCATTGGGTTAAGGAGTTCAAGTCAGCCTGCCATTGGTGGCATCTTTCCAGAGTCACAAAATATTGTAGAAAATGGAGGACAAAACTTCCATCTCGATCATTGAGATTATCTTAGGACCTCAAGGCCCTTCTCATATTGTCGTACCAACTTGCAGCAACACCGTGTAGGTAGCCTGAGGCTATCTTTACTTTACGTTCAGGAGACCAATTGTTGGTGTCGGAGGCCCATTCAAAGGCTTCTACCCACTCTAGGGGGGTTCTCATCCTCTTCCCCACGGAAGGGTTCGACTTTTACTAAATTCGACTCTCGAAGCGGAGGGTGGGCGGCTTCAACGACACCAGCGGAAATGTCCCTAAATGCATTTGCAATTTCTCACAATATTGTGTGCAACAGTTCTGGGGCGGGGGGTTGTTTTGGCTATTATTAATATTTCGATATAATGGCGGGTCATCAACAGGAGTGCGACTACGATCGCTATTGGGGGAGTTATGACCTGGGTGTTCTATGTCCGGGAGGGCAACGTTAACGATCCTATTTTCGTTATTGTTGGGAAAAACATTTACTTCAGCTCCTTGTTGTTTCATGGTAGTTGTCCAACTTTTGTAATCACTATCACTCTTGGCCTCGTCTATTCGTATCGTTGGCAGAATGTAAAAAAAAGAAAATAAAAAAAAAAGAAATATATATTAGGGATATGGTCCCAAGAAAGACTATGGCTATATATATATATTTTTTTTTGGCTATGTTAGGGCAGTTATGTCGAATCTCACAGTCACCACCAAATTGTTGATGGCAACGGCTAGAAAATAAACAGGTCTAGATAGTCACACCGAGATGCAGCGGGAACAAACTAACAAAAAAAAAACCACACAACAAAACCAACAAGGGTGAGGCATTAAGATTTGGCAAGGTAAGGCTTTTTGAGTTTGATTTGTTATGGGTGCGACACAAAAATGAAGGACTTTCGGGTTAAAAGACTTTAGCGAACTTTTATTGGATCTAATTCGAATTTTTATTATTTATTCTGAACTGGTCTGCTCTTCTAATGGAGCGAACTACCACTCTATTTATACAAAAATTCGGTACTAGAGAAAAAAAAGAAAGAAGAAAAGAACTATGGATCTCGCCCCTTGTCTCAGCACGTTATCACCACTGATCTTGACGCGATTTTGATTATACACTATTCCTTCTACATGGATGTAAACATCCGACTTACATGGCCACATGATTTACCCGATTTGTTACCTTTTTTGTTTATTTATACCTGACAGAGCCACCGCCTCACTTAACCAATTTGGGCGATGCTTGGTCATTGTTTTGCACTAGGTGGTCATACCATGGTTCTTCCCGTGCGCCACAGCTGAGAAGTTCAATACACCGTAGTCTTGGGTCCATCTTGAGAACAATCTTATCACGATGTGGCCACGATTTCTTGACGATTTGTTTGCGATTTCCTTCGAATTCTTCATCTTGTGGCTGTTCCAGGCTTATTTTTGTTTGGGGGCTTTTGGGGCAAAACTGATTCTTCACGATTTCTTTAACGATCTTGTGGGCTCCGATTCAGGGTTTTCGTCACGTTTTCAGGTCCCGTGACATCAAATTTGGTGCCGCGGATTTCGTCGGTTTTGCCACCAATAGCATTAAAATTGCAGATGCGAAATAAAAACATAATATATTATATAGATATTCTAAATATGGAAAATGTGCTCATTGCAATGAAGATAACACGCAACTAGCATGGTGTCTATCATGCGACCCTGATATGACAATAATATGGGCAAGTAGAAATAAAGATATTGATGATTGTATGAAAGAATTCCAATTTAGAACCTGTGCATATAAATATGTAATTGAATGAATTCCATATAATAGATTTAACTCCCTTCAATCTTTCTTTGTCTGCATGTCATATATCATTTCCAATAAAGTTTAAGATTAGACATTAAACATCTTATTTATTGGATGTGACCTTACTCGTGATCTGCCACATTTCCTTTTAGGTTAAAACGGAAAGGATTTTCAGCAAAAAATTTTATATTATCATTATCTTGATCTTGATCTTGTTCTTATAAATATCATGAGCAGGCAACGTTGCATTGTGCAGGTCTGATCTGATCTGATCTAGAGCATTCCCCCAAAAATTTTTATCGCATTTGGGTTGTATTTATAAGATTCAATAAGTTAAATTGACTTTTGATTTCATAATTCGATGTATGCATTGCTATGAAACTTTATTTGAATTTGCATACTAAAAATACATTTACAATAGCAAGCTTTATGTTCATCACTCATGTGGCTTATTAGTTAAACCTAATAACAATAATATTATATACCATTTTCTTTTTAAAGCACATCTTGAATATGTACAGTACTAGTTATTATCAAGTAATTAGCTACAGTGAGCAGCACTATTTAAATTCTATCAGACAGACCTCCATTTACTTATTGTATATATGTACATTTGTAGAATCTCTTTAAATAAAACTTTTCACCTTGTACTTTGTCAATTGTTCTGTGCTTTATAGCTTTCTATTCTTCTAATTTGTTAAATTGTAAATATAACTAAATTGTAAATAAAGTATACATGGACAATATTATATGGGATTTAGCAGGAAAGTGTTATCATTATCTTTTTTCTTTAATAAGGTATGGCTTAGGGTAAATTATATAATAGTTTCTTTTGTTTAAAAAAATTTTTTTTTAAACTATGCAATATACTTAACCATATTTAGTAAGTATAAAAATCATTATCGTTGTTTTCTATTTGGTTGAATTTTGATTAGTTTATGCTATTGCAGCAACAAAGCCTAACCATAATGTGAGGTTCTTACACTGCTATCATAGTTGTGGTGCTTAATCACTAAAAATGAGGTCTTGTACTGCCTGGGGTAGTCATAGAGCCTAAATACAATATGAGACCCTTGCATTGCTATCATAGCCACAGAGCCTAACCACAACGTGAGATTTGTTGAGAAGGGCTAGACTGGATTAGCTCAGAAAAATATGGGTCATACAGATATCAACCTATACTAATATAATCTAAATCAACACACTAACAACTAACTCTATTTGAACCCTAATATTGGAAGACAGAAAGAAGGTATAGAGAAAATTAGCCTAAGTTATTTGGGCTAAATAGAGTTCTATACTACATTACAAAGCTCTAATTCAGAGTCATGGGATTATAAGATTTATTTATCAGAAGTAATTAGTGAAATATTAAAGTTAGGATAGCAGACTCTTGATTGAGTCATCTCTATTGAGTTATGCCAACTCTGAGTTCATCTGAGCTCTCAGCTAGCTATTTTATTATAAAGTCAAGAGATAACGAATTTATAATTTTACATTCCTATGATAATACAGGTTTGGAGATTGAACTTATTAGTGAAATGACATTAATGTCATAAGTGACATTAGTGTTATTAGTGATATTTGTAGAAGAAGTGCCATTTATTGATGAAATATCATTAAGAGATGAAGTGTCATTTGTGGAATTAGTGGCACTTATGTCACTAATAACATAAGTGACAGAAAGGAAATAAGTACACTATACTAATGCTAA